TATATATATATATCTGCTTAAATTGCACTTGTATGGCAAGCTTCTTAGCAACGTGCATGTTTTTGAATTAAATTTCATTAATTCCTTCGAATGAAGAAGATATCGTGAGGATTGATATCCTTGCGAGTAAATTCACAAACATTTTTCACGTTTAATTTTCACTTCGTTTTTTTTTTTTTTTTTTTTTACTTAATTCCTGCATGGTAATTGCACCGCACTTACTATCACATATGTAATCGACGTCGGCGTGAAAGAAATTATACGAAACTCGCGTTGAAATTGGGAACTATCGGTCGAGAATTCCGAGGGCAAGATAGAAAGATAGACACAGAGAAAGAAACAGAAAAGAGTTATAGTTCGTCGTTTTATCCATGTAATGTGGACGAGGGAGGGTGTTTTCTCTGGCCAAAGCCGAGAATCTATAAATTATTGCTGAATGCCCGGCTTTGCAGATTGACGGAAACGGCGAGGCTGCTGAAAAACGTTAAAAGTGTTTTCACCAGACGCTCGAATGCCGCCTCCAGAGTCAATGTCGAGGTGGAGCTGTCACGTAAGTTGTCTTTTCCACAGACACTCACATACGCCGGGGAAATTTTACGATACCTGATTCTCTCGATATATCCTTCGCGATCGTATTCTTCCCTATAATTCTATATACTTCGCAAACTTTTTTCTTACTAGGTGAATTTTATCACGATTCTAACTGTTCTATTTCTTCGTACTTTATTCCGCACTTGAGCACGCGCTTAATTTCTCACGGCTTTCCGTTTCTTGTCCGTTCGTTCGTAAGCTTTATTTTATCGACGAGTGTTGTCCTAAAATATTGACTATACTTTTCGAAAGAAAACATTTACGACAAACTGATAACTATATGCACATTTTCGCACCTGCACCGTGTTATCTTATAGTTGAAAATTATATTTTTTTAGCAATCGCGAGATGCATATTAATATATACCAAACGTTCTCCAAGTCACGCATTTTTCTTCTTATTCTGTTCTCTTGAATGTGTAGATTGTTCAATTTACGAAAGGAAATGCGATACTTCTAGAACACTTTGTATATATATTGCTACAATTTTAATTTATAGAATGATTTAAAATTAGAAAATATTTCGTTTTTTTGCTATATAAATAGCGCTTGAAAATCGATAAATATATTAAAGCAATTTCGAATTTTCAATTTTCAACTCTTATGGACGCGTCTAGTGATGGACTGATAGATTTGAAAAGTACTGAATAATTTCGAGTATTTTATCCACGCTTACAAAATTTTTTGATAATTTTCGAAATCTTTATAATTTGCTTGAATTACTTGAAGATCGAAAAGAAAAATAAATCGAATGCCTATCGCTAGACGCGACTTCACAATTTTCCGATATCTTGCATGCCCGATTAATGGACAATCTTACGGCAGAGATTAACGAATTGCGACCTTTGTTATTGCGCATGCTGCGCGATGCAGATGGTTTCGCGTTCTCTCAAGAGGAGGGTGGTTCGGTAACCCAGACGGATGTGATCAGAGCCTACGACACGAATCTTCCGAAACCCGGCGGCATGTGATTTAAACGGGATGACCGTCATATGGCGAGAAGATGCTGGCTGCTCTTTCAAGTGACCTGAAAGAGAGCGTTTCGCTTCTGCTCGTTTTATTCGACTGATGCTTGAGCGCTTCAGGGAATCGTCAGTCGATGGATCGATATCCGATCAATGATAGGCTTAAGAACGCCGTGAAAACTCGAAAGAAAATATTGACCCTTAATCAGTCGCGTTTTGTTAAATTAAAAAAATTAGAGATTTTTTTTTAAATTTTGATGCGGTCTTATAATTTCGAGCAATAAACAACTTTTGTTAGATTTTTATTGCTGAAAAAAAAAGAAAATTATATATTCGTAAGTTTACATCTGTTAGATGCAAAAGAGATGCGATTAATTAAGGGTTGATAACGTTAATGTTCAAACGAATTCCTCTCTGAATTACTGCGATCAATTTGTAGAAGAGAACTCTAACATATATATTAGTATGAATAATTATTTTGATACTCCGTGAAATTTTATTCTGATATCGTAGAGACCCCTTCTTCTTAAAAAGTATTGAATAGCACGGATTTTCGACGATGCGGCTGTGCGTTTCGCCGCAATGCATTTGAGAATGCATTTCATGTTAGTGTCAAAGTCGTGCAAAGTCCTATTATGCACTGGTAAAACTGCTTTATATGTATATATATATATATATATATATATACACATCTAAAAAAGAAAAATTTATACACATTTCCAAAATTGAAGAAAGCTTTTGCGATCGAGACACAATCAAGGAAGGATTACGTTCGATTTCGTGCCAGAAGACTGTTGCCCTTGTTCTATATTCTATGTGTATATATTACGTTACTCTTTCTCTTTTTTTTTAAATCGATAACGTCTATACGTATATCATTACTGTACATACACATGAAAAACTGCATTATTATCTAGTCAGAATTCGATACCTATCTTTCAGTTCAAAGAGTCACTCTTCCGCCCATCATGGTACACTCTATTTTAAATTTGTGACTGAGGAATTTAATAGATATATATATACATATACATATAACATATGTAAAGTAACAATTGTATACACTATGTTCGGAATAAAACGGTGATAAAGATCTTAATCTTTTCTCATCTTTTCTCCAACGACAAGTTATAATAAAATATAACGACAAAAACGAATAAAAAATAATTAATTATTAATTTATATATATATCAATAAGAATCAATATCCAAAGACATATTTTTATTAAAGTGTTATAGCAATAATAATCGTACAAAGAGCGTGTAGAGATACGATATTCCTTGGGGTAAAATTGCTTCTGAATAAAGTATGCAAATTCATATGCAAATTCAGTATTATACTGAATGATCCAAAAGTCGTTATATTTAAAAAATATTTATAACTAGATAAATAATCGACGCTGTTAGCTAGTGTATTTCTTTTACCTTGTCGTGCTCGAAATAATAAATAATCGTAGCTGTAACGTACCTGATACATGACAAAGTTACATATCAATCGCCATTGATGAAGTTTCAATCAAATCTTTCAATATGTACTGTTCAAGTTGTTTTTGGTGGTTCCAACTTGAGACTGATGAAAAAGTTTTCGCGATCCTCTCTGTACCGCGCTTTCAAAAGAAATTCATATGCAAACGAGTTCAATGGAAAACTGTAGCTCTGCGCGAATCTCTGACAGTCCGTTAACCAGATTGCCATGTTGAGAACGTGTTTCCTCTTCAAGTCCACGTTCTTAGATCTTTTTTCGTTCTCCGAGAGTATCTTTGATTCCAACGTGATCGTGCGCCAACGATAAAAAAACTTACGCGTCAGATATCGTTGTCTATATGTCCAGATATCGTTCGTCGTCTCGTCAGCAATGTTTCGGCGTGTCGTGAACTTTATTCTGGCCAGGGTTGCCGCGAAAATGCGTCTGGCTAAACGCGAAAATCCATCTCGCTCGGTTCGTATTCTGTTCTGTCCTTCTCCTGAGCGAATACCGTTGAAATTAGATTCTAAAGTCCCGGTTTGCGTGATTGATTGTTTTCTTGTAGAAGACGATGGAAAATTCGCTTGAATTTCCCTCAAGTCATTTAATCCCAGAACTTTAATCAAAAAGTGACCTACATACGGCATGCAAGGCGGACTGCGTTCTGCTACGGTCCAAGTTTTTTGATACTTTGAACAGCGCGGACTTCTATAAATCTTGGAGAGCTTTTCCATTGACTCGTATCTAAAATATATGAAATTATATTAGAGAGACGTTTATGTTTTGCTTTTTTAAAAGAAAATTATTAATATAAAATGGAATATCTCGAAAGATATGATATTTACATGGGCTCAAAGAAATATATTCATGAAAAAAATCCACGAAAGCAATATCATGTAACTGCAAATTCAGGGATTAAAAGAAATTAATTATCTTGTGTAAAATTAATGAGAGGCGTACCTGTTGGCGTGATGAGTTCTCAAATAAGACCAACTTCTCCGAAGCCTGTAAATTGGCGGAGCCTGCAGACCGGCCAGGATAGATCGGCAGGATTGAAAATTGCCGAGCGCGAAACACTTGTCGGCTGCATTGATGAATCTCGCCATGATCCTGGTTCTCATATCGAGTTGCTTGATCGCAAGGATCTCGCTGACGGTCAAACAGGCGATCCGGTGACTGAAAGCGATCCACGCACCTACATTCGGCGCGTTGCGTGAGGATCTCTGATGGATCAGCACCTCGATTTCGGTTGCCGGAATGCGAACGAAAAGATCGCGATCGATCATCGTCAGTTGCGTGGCTAGAGTTGTGCTATCTAAATCCCACACGGTGATACGAAGATTCATCTTTAAAAATCTCCGCAATTGCGCTGTGCCTTTATCGACGTCTGCGGTTTCAATCAGCTTTTTCTGTTTGCGCGCACCATTGATGAAAAGCACGCGTTCTAATAGACTGCTAGATTTTCCCGTAATTGTCGTTTCAGAATTACCGCTTTCGCCTGATATCTGATTTTTTCGTCTGCAGAAGAGCTTTCTTTTCGCCTGCTTTTCTTTTCCGCATCGAAAATCTCGAACAGATGCCAAGTGATGTCTTAGCTCTCTGTTATGTGAGAAATTATTTAATAAACCAGAGTTTTTATTTAAATTATTCAAAATATATAGTTTAAAAATTACATATTTGTCGATTATCTTTTTAAATTATTTAATATACGCAAAAGTTAAAGTGAATAAAATTTAGGTCTCCAAATCTTGCTTAAAATTTATATGCTTTAAACAGAAATTTCTTATGAACAAATACCATGAATCACATACGATATTTATAAGATGACAAATGTTTTCTCTATATTACCTATAAGCAGCCGCAGCTGCCTGAGGTCTGTACCAATATTCCGGTGTCCAGAAGAGTATCACTCGTCCTCTAGTAACGGTACTAGAACCACCGGATGTTAAAGCGGCGCAAGAAACGCTGGCTGTCAACTGACGACGCGAGACCGGAAGTCTTAATTCCGGGTCCGACGGTTGTTTGCGGATGTTGACCGCGCTCGGCGATCTGAGAGTTTGCACGGATTCGCGTTCGCCAGGCTGGACCGACCACGGTCCCAGCGCGTAGAAAAAATGTGCTGCTGAAGAAAAGGCGTATCTTCGCGGGTGCTTTTGACTTTTGAAGGATCTGTGATCCTCCCAGATCGTCACGCCGCTTTCGATTAAATTGCGGGGGTTAACGAAGCGATGCGGAAGTTCAGAGACGTCGACGTAACCGGAATCACCGCGATAAGGACCCAGAATCAATTCGGAATTGCATTTCTCCGGTATACCATAGCCGAAACGCGATACTTTCGAAGCCAAAGACGATCCTTTCTGATGCTGTTGTTGGTGTCTTTCGTATTTTTTTTCTACATGTTTTATGAACTCTTCCTCGGAGAGTATATTTTGACGCTCTAAATGTTTTTAATCGTTGATATTTATATCGTCTTTTTATCAAAATATTTGCATTGGAACGTATGCATATATGAATTTATTTAATTTTCTTATATAATAAAAGCATATTAGTTTATTATTTTTATTTTTCCTTTCTTTAAAGTCTTTACGTTTATTATTTTATATCACGATAAGAGAAACTTTGAGATTTTTTTTTCCTAGGTATATCTAAATAGATAAAAAGATTTACGAGTTTTGCAAATCCGACTGCTCTAACCGTGACATCGGCTGTGCTTTCCGGGAACGCCGACACTGTCGTCTAATTGGCAGATGTTGCAAGACGTACTTTTGCAACTTGCGGTGCGATCGTGACGATGAGCGCAGCGATTTCTTGCGAAAATGACATTGCATAGTCCTCCGGAACGTTGCGATTTTGCCTGACTGTCAAACTTCATCTGGCATGGCCAACTTTGACAGGATTTCTTGCAGGTGACATAACGAGGTGTACGATCCCCTAGCTCGTACATAAGATCCTGCAAGCTGGCTCCGGCGAATCTCACCGGAACAGGCGTATAATGACCGTTTACCAGCTCGTTAAAAGACGATCCGAGATACAAGTCCTTTTCTGTCCATGTAGGAGTAACGAAATCACCGGCACCTCCATAACGAGTCCATATTCTGTTTTTTTTTTTTTTTTTTTAATACGCGATTGATGATATTGATAACAAGTAATTTAATAAATGTGATCATTAAGTATTGTTTCGAAGGAAGCAAGAGATATTTAATCTTCGAAAATGTCGATTCACGTAATGAAATCAAAAATAGTTTACACCAATTGACACCTGAATACTGGTTTCTTCGCGTTGCGATTATTCTTGACTTCGATCTCGGATGATAGTAAATACAGTGTGCTACTGCTCGACGAGCTCGCCGCCGTTGTTTCGGATAATGAACTACCATCCATCTTATACGCCAATAATCTCCGTACCTGTTCGCACCAGATCCTCCAAAAAATTCTGCGCCGCACGCCACCGAGTTCATAATAATTAGCTCGACCATCAATGAATCTAAAGATAATGAATCTAAGATAAATCAAATGTAAATTGATTCTCCTAAAAAAAAAAAAAACATGAAAAAGATTTATAATTTAAAAAATTAGTTTATTATATAGATGTAATCATCTAATTAATTATTAGATTAATAAACTAATTTTTTATTTTTTTGTGAATGTTGAAGAAAATGGAAAACGAGTCTTTTTTTATACTCCTTGTTTCATTTAACGAAGAGTATACCTTGCCTTTAGTGTCCTACGACGTCTTCTCCTAAACACACTGAGCGTAACATATTCTAGAGGATATACGGAGACGAGTTCAAAACTCTCGATACTGACGTCGATATCGGATGGGCAAATGAAAGCAGGATTAGTCTGGAGAACATCGGCGGCGACGATCAGTCTGGTCGGTGTGAGGCCCAGGGTGACCTGACGTAACCCACGTCCATTTCTCGTGGTTTCCGCGAACGGCGACTCTACCAGAATTGTCTCGGAGAACTCGCAGTACTCCGACAACAATAGCTTACGTATCCTATTATTTTGCGGACGAGCGTCACGACGGGGCAACCTCGTTTCACCTGACGCGTTCATGGATGATTTCTCTCGCGCGGCGAGGAGAAAAATAATAACGCGTCGCACGGATCATCTATGAGATTTTTTACGACCCAATGATTTTCAAAGCGTTCAAAGATCGTCTATTTGTCAGAGCTTAACCGCGCTGGATTAATCGCTTTCTCGACCGAAACGTCAAAGAAAGACTCGTAATATTATTCGTAGATAACTTCTCGCAAAATTTCATTCTGTAAAGGGTGACGATTGTGAAAATAAAAGTAACTGAATTAATATAGTTATTAAATTCGTATCTTTATAGTATCAAAATATCGCGATCGAAGAAATTATATTAATGTTAATTTTTGAAATATCTTGAATATCTAGTGGATTTCGTGTTTTTAATATGTTTATTTAGGAAATCGATAAATTCCAAGATTAGGTATATCGTCGCTTTTATTTAAAAATTCAACATCTCGCCGAATTTTCTGTTAATATTCGTATATAGAGTCGCGATTGTAGTAGATTACATTCAAAGATAGAGACTACATGGTAAATACTGGTCGTAAAACCTCGTCGATTAATAAGAATTAGCTCCTTCACTCCATTTACTCGGTGTATAATACGATAATAAATAAGATATAAAAAACACGTACGTGTGTAAAAGAACCTCACTAATAGAGAGGGAGCGCTGTTTTACTTATAATAAATGGTTAGCATCGAAACGTGCAAAAATGTACAAAATTTACGCGCGAAGATACATACAAAGATTGTTCCTACATTCTCTCGACTCAATTACATTCTTATCGACTACCGTTCTCCGGATTTACTCTGATGGTGACTTTGTTGCTGAGAGCGGACGCGAGCTTCTCGACATTGCCTTGGAGAAGCTTGTTCGGCTCAGAATTCGTTGTATCGTTACTGGGCGTCGCCGTGTTTTCGGAAATAGTCTTCACGGGCGACTGATTTTCCTGAAATAAATTTACATTCATAATGTCGTTCCTTCTAAGAGAATACGCGGTCAAGTAACTGTACAAGTTTCCAGAAACGTAGGCAATGGAAAGTTACGGTCATTAAAGATTGTAGAAATTTATGACAAATATAGTTAGTTTTTTCAGATCGATTTTATCTTGTGAAATGATCGCTTACCACTCCTTCAGTCTTTCTTCTGAGGTTCGACCTCTGCAAGGTCGCGACGAGCTCGTTCTGCAACCTGGATACGACAGGACTGTTGGCCGCCTCATCGACGACGCCGTTTCTATCGCGACTTGGCTGTTGCGGCAAGAATTCCAATCTGGATGGTTGCTTCGTCTCACCCTCGTACGCCCCTATCCTGACGGCCACCTTGCTGCCGGTGAGGGATTTCGAGACCTGTGCGCCGTTGGTCGGCGAGACCGATGCAAGCGAGGTTTTGGCGAGCTCCGCGACGGGACTCGTCGCGGCATCCTTAGGGACCTTGCTTCCAGTACCGATATGATGTGGACTTCCGTTCGAAGCCGGGTTCGTTACCGGAAAGTATGTCGGCGGCGGCTTCGGTACTGTGTTAGGTGCTTCCTTCAGTTTGAACGACTCGATACTCTGCATCTCCACTGAGTCATCGTTGCCTCGATTTTTCGAAGGAAGCGGAAGTGGAGGAGGCATCGGAGGAGGCATTGGAGAACCCATCGTCGTCGTCGTTGCTGCCGTCATCGTTGTCGAGGTCTCATTGAGCACCCTTTTTTCTTGTTCCTAAAAATAAAATAGAACGCAATTATAATAAATATTAAAATAATATATTATAATTTATCAATTATAAATTTATGTGTCAAGCAGACTAAAATTATATTTTAAAATTAATATTTGAAAAAATAAGATTAGAAATGAAAACGAAAGAACTTCATTAACGCAACAAATTATGAATTAAGACATAACTGATATCTTAGAACAGAATTTTTTATTTCGAAATATATTTTTAATTTAATTAAATTAAATTAATGTGTCGATACGAGATTATTAAATAAGTTTGATGTATCGATAAATCGACACACATGCCAAAGTCTTAAATGAAATCGCATATTAATGTTAAATATGATTATATATAATTACTAACGTTGTAAGGCGTGATTGTGACCAGCCCTTGTTTCTTTCTCATTGTGTCGGTTATATTATTCGTCTTCGACCTTTTTTTATCCATACTTGCAAACTGTCCGAAGGTATTTTTTAATTATATATAGTACTAGCTAAATAATTTAATATGTCATATATTCCACTTTCCACTTTTTCTCCGTAAGTTAATTGTCCACTCCTTTTTACATTTACGCTTTTTTCTGACGTACGATCATTATAATATCCTCGATTAAAGTCTATTATCTCGCACACAAAAAGTATATTACTGACGTAAAAATCTTCGATATATGTATGTCCTGGTGATATATCAATATTCAAATAATCCTTTTTATGGCAGTTTCAATTGAATTTGGTTTCTAGACTGTTTAAAAAACTTTTCCTTTAATACTTTTGGTTCTCCCGAGGTAGGGATCTGTCAACCTTCAATAGAGAAGTCTTTTTTTTCACGACGCGTTTGTGTCTCGACAAACATACTCCGCTTTTCGTTATGGCGTTTTGCGCGCGTGCGGCCTTATTTTCTTCTAATTACGATTGCACGGCGACCTCGAGTTTTGCGGTATTTCACAGACCGCCGATCGCGCGACACGACGAACGACTGAGAAAATACGCTGCGAGAGTAACGTGCGTTACGTCGTCTTACATTGAGTTGCTCTTATGTAAGCCCCTATTATTTTGCACGTCTGCCGCAATTCGTAGAAAACTGTCGAAGCGAGGAGAAAAAGAAAAAGAAAAATGTGGCGCATGAGACCCGTGTCCTGTTGCGTTGCCTTGCATATCACGTTGCACTCCCGCGGTATCAAATATACGTATGTATTTCCGTACGATGAAATCGCAATCACGGCTACCGGTTGTAGCGAATAAATCCGTGAGTGCCTCGATAACGGTGATTAATGGACGATAAGAAGTGACAACAAGTCGCTAATCAATCTCTGGCTTTCGTAATAGCAAGTCATCACTTGGTCGTGTCGAAGAAATGAAAAAACAGTGATTTTTCTCGGCGCGATAACGAGATCATTAAAAAAAAAATGTATATATATATATATATATATTTTATCTAGATTTATCTCCAATATTTATTTCTTCTAAATGAGAAACGTAGAAATACATAAAACACATAATTTAGTTTATAAGCACATGACAGCATGTGATAATTCAAAGGCACTTGAATTTTAATATCGTTTCTGAACAATTATTAGCCATCAATTTGCAGCTGGTTTCAAAAATTTCATGTTATTATCATTTTATCATTAGCATTATTATTATCGTTATCATTATTATAATTATTAATGCAATTCTCGCGCATACATTACGTCCAAGGCAACACGTTAAGAATAATGCGATGCGCACATACACTTGAATAATTGATAGCTAATTTTCTAATATGTCGTTTCCGCGATTAAATGTAGTTTTTAATTCACTCTCGCACACATTTTCTCTGCTGCGCGGTAATACAAGAACTGAAACAAAACGTCGTATATACGTGACTTTAAAAGTGCAAACTGTTCGCTATCTCTCGTCGTTTCAACAATACTACCGAGCGTCACGACCAATGTGTGCCTGCACAGGTATACAAGAGGTAAACGTGTCGGTGCGTCAGCATTACGCACACACACCACTATGTAATCTGCACGCCACACTGACGATGACTATTCCGGGATCTTTATAATTTCGTGTTCTTATCTGTTTGCACCGGCATATCCTTGCTTGTACGGTTGTGTAATTAAAAAACGCGCTACATTCGAGCCGCTTTAGTTATGCTTCGAAAAATTCTTCACTCAGGAAGTAGCGTTCTGGTGAAAAACTCAGTTGCAATTTATTTTTGGCATCTTATTATAAGACGAAATCAATTCTTCTCTGGTATATTATTCAACACAATCATTAATTCCGTTTTGTTCATTATAATCATCTTTTTTTAAAAACCATTGTAATCATCTAATTTTATGTGAGTTATATTTTTATTTATCAAAAAATTCTTATATTATCTTGATTTTATGAAATTCAAAATCTATATCGTTTCAACTAAATTTATTAATTTTCTGAATTAAAATTCTTTGAATTAAAATTCTGGTTAACGGTAAATCAGGTAAATTTATCAATGTGTGTAGTGTTAAATAAGACTTGATCATCTTTACAATGCGTGCAACATATTACGTTACTAATCGGTTTCAAAGATATATGCATATCACTGAACAGTATACCAGACTGGCGTCAGGTGGACTATTGTTATCATGAAAGTTAAAATATCATATATCTCGAATTCCGCGACGCAAAATCGGAGAATAAATTCGCGAATTTTATTTTTATAAAGTCTAATAATTTTTCAAACCTTGTTTGCAACATATCTTAAGATATTGACAGAATATTAGAGAAATTTAAATCTCTCTCTCTTTCAATAATAAACAATTTATTTGTGCCAATTAGCTTTTCTTACCTTCTCGAGAACTTGATCTGTGGACTGCGCCTTTTGCTGAGCAGAGTTGAACATCTTTTGGTGTGCACGCTTAAATTCCTCCATCAACTGCAAAACGAGTAAAGTGTCAGTTTTATTATAGAGCATTTTTTATCTGGTGATGAAG